TGTTCTTGCAAAATGACTTCCTCTTAAACCTCATGATCTAGGCTCATACTACAAAGCAATATGAAGGACAAGGGCACTTGAAAATCTCACCTTGGGTTAAAGCAAATGGAGTAATATAATTCAGACTCTGAGGAACTGCTAGTAACAGATATTATAGAGAAGATTTGATATTTCAATCCTCTATCCACGCCTTCATCAAGGCTCTTTTGTGAACAAGAGTTGTATTTTGCAGGTGTAACACTGGGCATGATAATGCAAAAACATCAGAGTCTTTTAACCTTGCCATATCAAACCATAAAATCAAAGAAGCCATCAACTTTCATTTCTATCAAAACATAAGATGAAGAGATCTGCCTCCCCTCTGATGCACCCTAATGGTTTGAGAAAGAGACTTCTGAAATCCCCACCTTCATTTAGATATACTGACTCTAAACTGAAGATTAGTTCACTTGCTGGAACTACCCCTTTTATCTCAGTAAATCTTGCTAAAGAGAACTCTGTGAGAATTGTCCTTGGAAAAGAATCTCTTTCAGTTTAGACAGGTACCAAAAGGTCTGACACGGACAGTCTCAGGGCAGCAGTTCTGAATGTTCATCTCTTGGCCCCTTCTCTACTCAAGCTCTCTGTTCCTAGTCATCCCCATGCCATGCTGTTCGGCTTAGGTTCATGCCACTGGTAGTAGCATATGTCCTGAAATGGACCTGAATCTCTACAAGAAGAACTCATATGAGCAGAGCTGTAGCTTTTTACTCCTCTTTGTCCTGGCCTGTCAACCCCAGCTGGAGCATGATGGGCAAAGTCTCAGGGCAGCACCAGAATACTCAGCAGCCATCCAGGACAGAGAAGCCTCAACTGCAAGAAAAGAAAGGGAGGAGTCCTTCATGTACACAAGGAAAATTGTTTTCTAATGAGCCCTATGAGGAGTTTTAATCAGAGCTCTGCCCCAGGGTCACTCTTGAACAGCCAATTTCAATCTTATAACCGAATGTATTCAAAATGTGTTCATTTCAGTAAAAACATTTTTATTCTATGCCTTCCTTCTTCTACATTCAAACGCCACTGCTGTCTAACAGTTTTGAACTCCAGGCAATGTGAAGTTAGCCACCAACACTCTAAAGCTACTTTTATGTGCATCAAGAGAGAAAGATAAAAAAGACTGTGCCTATCTGGGTGGACCTAGTTTCTCCCCTTCAGTTTGTACCACTTGAATTGCCTTATGTGAAGATTTTTCTCCTTTTAATGCTACCTTGATTGTGGGGAGGAAGAAGAAACAGTCATACATTTGGTTATCTCCTGGACACAGCTGCCCATGTATAAAAGCATCTAATCCAACGAAACATTGTGAAATGGGATCACTACTCACTATTGACAATCCACTCTGTTGACCAATTAGCTTTTGCCACAATCAATTAACCATTATGTAAACAGCAACTGTGTCAACCCAACAACTTCACTAAGCCAGGCAGATCTGGGGACAAAATGAAGCAGTGCACTCCCTGCAGATAGGATTCAAGGGCAGAGTGACAAATAACACCTGGCTGGAGAATGAAAAGCATTTCAAAATTTTTACATGCCAGGATACATTTTTGGTGTTTGCTGTATTAAATTATCAGGCATCATGTCTGCACAGGGAAGAAAATTTACTCAGAAATGGATAGCTCAAACAATCAGAAGCATGAGATATTTCCACTCCTGGCTCCCAGCATATCATACTCAATTGACACAACAGCCAACACATCCTGCTAGGAAAGAGAAGGGAATATTAAAGTCAACTTGAAAGAGAGGATCCTCAGCCAGTAGTCTTCTATGCTGCCAGGAGCCAACTTGATGCAATGGCTGATTTAGAGTTAACAAGGTTTTCAAGCAGAAGAATGGTATCTCTAGCTCAACAGAGGCCAGCTTGAGCAGAGAAAATATGTTTTTCATTTAATACCACAGGATACTTTTAGAAGAGAAACCTGTGGGTACGGACTGCAATGGGGAGAAGGAAAAATGATTTGTGAGACTACCATGACAATTAAATTGCAGAGATTAAGTGAGAAAGTAGGATACACCTCATGGCGTGGTTTTGGTCCAAGGGCTGTAGCAGCTCTAGAGGTTGGAAAGCTACTTTCGGGGAATCCTCCAGTGGCACAGACTGCAGCTGCTAGAGGGGGGAGGAACTGGTAGGAATGATGATCAATTATGAAATAAAGTGCTATCACAGTAACAAAATGAAGGCTAACATTTACAAAGAAAATATGAGGGCGTCAAGTATACTATGGGGTAAAGAAAACAGTATTTGTATCCAACCAAACATGACCATATAGTTTGCAAGGGGTCCTTTATAAAAGGATTGAATGGAAAAACTCTAGAAATCATAGATTAATAATTAAGAAGAGTTCTAAAACATTGCATATCAATGCCTATGGAAAATTTTGGTGTTTAAGCCTACGCCCTATATTGTACATCCAGAACCTTCTTCTCCTCTTCTGCACATTATTTCCTCTAGAGTGGTGCTTCTCAATCTTGGTAACCTAAAGATGCATGGACTTCCACTCCCAGAATTCTGGGAGTAGAAGTCTACACAACGTAAAGTTGCTAAGGTTGAGAAACACTGCTCTAGAGATCCAGCATAATAGTTCTACTGAAGTCAAGAAGGTCTGAATGCTGCATTCCCAATGCATCCAGGGGCCATTTTATCCCCGGATTCCATAATGGTGGAATATTCTTAATGCACTGTGGGTGTATCACTTTTAAAGGCCTTCCAAAGCTGGATGGGCCCCTCTATATTGTCATGCCCTCTTCAGGAAATTCCAAGATCTGTGGAATGACTCGGCTGTTTCTATCCAAGCTAGAAAGGACACTGGGCCTTCTTATGTTCTAAAATGTGACAACCAATATAACATTATTAAAAGATATTCATAAGCTGTCTTGAAATGGATTTGCTTTCTTTTGAGAATTTTTTTTTTTTTTTTAAATCTGCGCTCAGTCGTTACCGACTCTGCAGTGACTGCT